GCGTTAAAGCCGCAGGAGCACCAGGTAGTGGTGGTGCACCCTGCGCAATGCCTTACGATCGGCAGGGGAGAGGCCTGCTGCCTCCACGAAGGGCCCATCCCGGCTTCCGTAGAATCCAGCCGATTGGTCGGGTGGACCAAAACAAGGCGCATCTCGCCGAGGGAGACCGGCTGCGGTGTGAGACGGCGGAGAGATCCCCCATCCGCCCTGCCCCCTCTCGCGCGGGGTCTACTACCACTCCCGCAGGTAGAGGTTACTCTCGCCCCCCGCCCCGCCGCCAGTGTGCCCCACGCCACAGAAACTCGAGGGGGCCCGAGGTGGGCGGGGGGAGCGCTCTCTGAGCTCGCTTCCGGGATCGCCCTCTGGGAGGAAAGGCACACATCTGCGCCGTCTCCAGAACATAGGCGCTGCGCTGCGCTCCGGAGCTGTCCAGCGACGCCCCGTCGCTTTCCGGAGACGTGCAAAACAGCAGCGTCCTCGCTCCGAGGCCCTCGCCGCGGTCCCGGGGAGGAGGCGGTTCTCAGGGCCTGGCGCGGCCGGCGCCCAGCACGGAGAGGAGCTGGGCCGGGGTGCGGCCTCAAGCCGTGCCCACAGGCCATCAGAGACGTCACAGGAGATCTCTCCTCTCCTGAAACTCGGGAGAGCCCAGGGCCCACCGGCTTCCAGGGGCCGCAGGGCCCGGGGTGGCAGCGATAGCTAACCGCTGGGGGGCCATCCGAGGCATTTGGTTACATAAAGTAATTTCCGATATTTTTCAGACTGTTCCGAAAAATATTTCTGGTATTAAGAGCCTCAGAAATAGCCAAGAGACAGAGGAGCTAACTTTTATTCGAATAAAAGGGAGAGTTCACTGGACAATCCCCCATGAAGTCTCTCCACTTGATAGAGGTCGCAGCCTCTTTTATCCCCTTTGCCCAAAACGCAGGTCCCTCCGTTTCCCCATTGGCTGAGGTACTTCGGGGTTACAGACTTTCCGACACGCCTACAACGTGTCCCCCATCATATGGTCATTAGGGGAAAGGTCCCCAACATTTTCAAAATGGAGGTTACTGATCCTTTGCTGCTGATAGGTCCTCTTGTCTCTGGGCAAACTGCACCTTTCTGTAACTGACGACTGAACAACCAGTAACTTGTCACTTCCTACTACTAAATGTAACTACACTACAAACTTTGCAAGAACACCTATTTATACCTCATAAGACCTATAACAAAGTGGAGGATTTCTTTTGGCCACTCTTTTTCTTAACTAAAAAAGGAAGAAACTTGTCACTGGAAGTTTCATAGGGTTTTCGGTCATCACCTGAGGATGCAATACAAGGTCATTTATAGGCTAGGGACTTATTCTAATGGATTACCAGAAGCTTTAACAATGAAACAGGATCATTTTCATTATGTAATTGAGTTGTTGTCTGGATCCATTTTCCCAAAACTCTGTTCCACAGTAATCTTTGTTCATCACCTGCTACCATTTTGCCTCTTCACCTTCCTTTCTCTCCCAATTTCCCACTGAATAATTCGTTATGGCAACTCCCTTAGAGCAATGTCTGAACCAGATAAAGTCTTTTTTCTGTATTTATTTAAGGAAAGATTCTTTAAGGAAAGAGTTGTGAAAAAAAAGTTATTTACTTTATAGCTATGTCATTCTTTCACCATAAAAGTAAGTGCCCTATAATCTCTATAGTAAGGAAGGGGGTGAAGAAGACCCTGTTATATGCAGGACAATATGTCAAAAGGGGTAAGGGGGGGGAGTGGAGTGGAGAAGAGGTGCTCCAGATTAACATAGCTAGGAAGGGAGAAGTAAGATGCTCTTCCTTCAGTCACAGTCCCATTCCTTTGTCCCAGACTTATTCCCCGAGGGAGCCATCTCATAAATTGAAAAACCGGCCTCACAAATACAATTAAGTGCGTATCAAGTAGAATGTGGCACTGCAGGCAACACTAAACTGGACATTAGCTTTCATCTCTTCCCCTGCTTCCATTTATTCTGTAAGTATATGAATTTTGCATACTTCTCAAGAGACGATTTCTAAAAATGGGGCCACAACATAAATTGGCATTAGTATGTGATACGAATGCATCCAAAGGGCTTTAGGTATGATTTAGGTATGATGGTGACAACAACAAGCAGATGGACTCTTGTGACATGGAATTTCAATGTTCTGTAGAATTTTTAGAGTGTTTCAGAGAATCAGAACTGTAGAAACAAATTAAACACAACGAAGCAACTACACTTGTTTTGAATTGGGAGGCCTCTTGACTATAGGTGTAAGAACCTTATATACAGTGCATTTAAGATTTGAAAGCAACTATACACACCATGCATCTGTCATTTGATAGAAGGAAAGTCCACCTTTCACATTTTACAGTTTAATAAGGGATTACGTTATTAAGCAAGCTAGAATGACTTTTCCCACTACAGCAATCCCAGTGTAAATTCATGGTAATTATGTTTTGATGGTAAAATGAAAGCACTGATGATAAAGTATCAGTGGGAAAAAAAATTTACTTTCCAAATATGGGCAAATAATATATCATTATTTAGAATAAGAAATTACATATATTTCATTGAGATGAAAAGTGCTGCTAACATCTTCAGCTCACACACAGCCAACTCTACAAGGTATGATCTTATATTTAGATGTAACACTGTCTCACTGGGCTTAATGGGTCAAAATTCTTCAAATATTGGATTCTGTAATGCTAAAAGTAAGGTCACACACTTGTGTGTGTGTGTGTGTCCCCAAGTCCATCTCTGCTTTTGCATAGGCTGAAATAGAAATATTGCATATATTTTGTTATCAGTAATTGTACCGAGTTAAAGTTCTCTTAGAAAATTGCACCAAATTGTGAGTTTAACACTAATAAAAAGGTAGATAGATTAAGAATGATGTAATAGTCACCTGCTGAGCACCTGCGATGGCTGTGCAAAATATCATTAAAGCTGATGCAATTAGCTAAGTAAGACATTCCTCGTAGGTGGCAGGATCCACTGATAATGAGAAAAAAAGAAAAAGCAGGGACAAGAAAGGAACAATTCAATTCACATCAATAATTTATTTTATTTCTGAAATGTAATACACTCATTTTTAAAAGTAAACTCAAAAAATATTTTAAAATGAGAGATGTGAAATTAAATTGCATCTTTCTATTCTGGTTCATTTATCGCTGTCATAGAGAGGAAAGTTTACCTCTCTCACTATGAAAAAGCAAACTGTTACCAATTCCTATTTTAGACCTTGAAACTGTGATAAGATCTTCCAAGTGAACAATGAAACTTTAAGAAAACCTCTGATTAGCTTTAGAGCATCGTGTATTATTAGTATGACTTCTTGTGGCAAACATGGGAATATTCATTTCTTTACTGAGCAAGTAGATGAAAAAGACACTAACAGCGGTATCCTTGCCGAGCTCTACAAATAAATAGGCTATCAGCAGTAGATATATTAAAATTAGGATTGGTGACTGATTATAGATATATATGAAGCAAATGCAATCATTTCCCCATACAGAACACAACAATCACATATTTTAGTTTACCAAGATTTTTAAAAGATCGATAATCTTGCATCATCAGAGTAGATGAAATTGTTAACTTGTAAATAAAATGTGCAAATGTACAAATTTCTTAAGAATCTTTCAGGGTAAACTAGATCCTGAACTTTATCTTCTGTTAAAGAGGACACTTAAGCAAATATTAAAGACATGACATGAACAGAGAAGGAAGGATGAAAGCTAAGCATATCTAAGCCTTTACTTCACAAAACATATGTTCTGACAGTATATTTGTTTGGAAAAACACGGTGTCATAATTGTTTCTCAGTGGTCCTATTTTGCCTGTGTTTTCAAACACATCCGAATTGCATGGATCTTATAAAATGAAAAATCTTACGGAACCTATGTTCTTTTCACTGTGTGAAAGTCCTGCACAAATATACTCCACTTTGTTATAGGTCTTATGAGGTATAAATAGGTGTTCTTGCAAAGTTTGTAGTGTAGTTACATTTAGTAGTAGGAAGTGACAAGTTACTGGTTGTTCAGTCGTCAGTTACAGAAAGGTGCAGTTTGCCCAGAGACAAGAGGACCTATCAGCAGCAAAGGATCAGTAACCTCCATTTTGAAAATGTTGGGGACCTTTCCCCTAATGACCATATGATGGGGGACACGTTGTAGGCGTGTCGGAAAGTCTGTAACCCCGAAGTACCTCAGCCAATGGGGAAACGGAGGGACCTGCGTTTTGGGCAAAGGGGATAAAAGAGGCTGCGACCTCTATCAAGTGGAGAGACTTCATGGGGGATTGTCCAGTGAACTCTCCCTTTTATTCGAATAAAAGTTAGCTCCTCTGTCTCTTGGCTATTTCTGAGGCTCTTAATACCAGAAATATTTTTCGGAACAGTCTGAAAAATATCGGAAATTACTTTATGTAACCAAATGCCTCGGATGGCCCCCCAGCGGTTAGCTATCGCTGCCACCCCGGGCCCTGCGGCCCCTGGAAGCCGGTGGGCCCTGGGCTCTCCCGAGTTTCAGGAGAGGAGAGATCTCCTGTGACGTCTCTGATGGCCTGTGGGCACGGCTTGAGGCCGCACCCCGGCCCAGCTCCTCTCCGTGCTGGGCGCCGGCCGCGCCAGGCCCTGAGAACCGCCTCCTCCCCGGGACCGCGGCGAGGGCCTCGGAGCGAGGACGCTGCTGTTTTGCACGTCTCCGGAAAGCGACGGGGCGTCGCTGGACAGCTCCGGAGCGCAGCGCAGCGCCTATGTTCTGGAGACGGCGCAGATGTGTGCCTTTCCTCCCAGAGGGCGATCCCGGAAGCGAGCTCAGAGAGCGCTCCCCCCGCCCACCTCGGGCCCCCTCGAGTTTCTGTGGCGTGGGGCACACTGGCGGCGGGGCGGGGGGCGAGAGTAACCTCTACCTGCGGGAGTGGTAGTAGACCCCGCGCGAGAGGGGGCAGGGCGGATGGGGGATCTCTCCGCCGTCTCACACCGCAGCCGGTCTCCCTCGGCGAGATGCGCCTTGTTTTGGTCCACCCGACCAATCGGCTGGATTCTACGGAAGCCGGGATGGGCCCTTCGTGGAGGCAGCAGGCCTCTCCCCTGCCGATCGTAAGGCATTGCGCAGGGTGCACCACCACTACCTGGTGCTCCTGCGGCTTTAACGCCTCCGACATGGAAACACCATTGCAGTTCCAGACGGGTTTCTGCTCTGAGCAGCAGCAGCAGCAGCAGGGCCAGGACAAACAAAGTCTTCTCCAGCAGCCACAGCAGCAGCAGACCCCATGCCTCCAGTGCAACAACTGTACCTATTATGGGGCCGTTGTGGCAGCAGCGGGGCATAACCTGCCCTCGCTGCTCTGCACTTCTTCGCCTCTCTCGGGCGCCCTCAGGACTCACTCCTTGCCGCTCTCCAGTTTCGCCTCCTCCCGGCAGGGCAGCCAGCTGAACGTCAGCGAGCTCACCCCCTCCAGCCATGCCGGCTCGTCCAGACAGCCCCACCAGTACCACCAGTGCCATAGCCTGCAGCAGCAGCAGCAAGCAGCCAGTCCCAGCAGCAGTGGCAGCAGCAGCAGCAGCAGCAGCACCAGCACCCACCATCACCACTACCAGCAGCGTCGGGAGAGCAATCCCTTCGCCGAAATAGCCATGAGCAGCTGCAGGTACAACGGCGGCACCATGCGGCCGCTCAGCAACCTGAGCTCATCCCGCAGGAACCTGCACGAGCTTGACTCCGAGTCTCAGCCGCTCCAGCAGCCGCTCGTCGGCCCCATAGCCGCTGCTCCGGAGATCGTGGTCTCCAAGCCCGAGCACAACTCCAACAACCTGGCGCTCTACGGCTCCGGCGGCACTAACAACGGCGGGGGCAAGTCCAGCAAGAAGAAGAACCAGAACATCGGCTACAAGCTGGGGCACCGCCGGGCGCTCTTCGAGAAGCGCAAGCGCCTCAGCGACTACGCGCTCATCTTCGGCATGTTCGGCATCGTAGTCATGGTGATCGAGACAGAGCTGTCTTGGGGCGCCTACACGAAGGTATCTGCCACGCCGTCGGACCGCCTTCCTTTCGCTCTCGGCGCGGTCGACGCAGCCCAACGCCCGCCCCCCTCACCCCCACCCCTCCGACCCCGTGCCCCCTCTGTGGGCTCCTTGTCCGTCCCGGTCCGTGGGCTCGCGGAAAGGTGGCTCCGCAGCCGGCTGCCCTCTCCTGACAGTCGTTCAAATTCTTGCGGTCTAGCCGCCCCGCGCCGTCATCCTCGTGGGAAGGCGGCTGCCGCCCGACCCCGACATCACTTCGTTTCTCTTAGAGCCCAGCACGGCGGGACTGTTCAGCCCTCACCCGGCCCTGCCGGGAAGCGTCCCTCGCCCCAAAGAGAGGTGAGAGGTGCCCTGACCCCCCGGCACCGCCGTGTGGAGCCCACTGGTCCTCCGCCCTGAGACGAGATGCTCACCCCGCGGCTCCGCAACCGTGAGGCGAGGTGTCCCCCTTCCCTGGCCCCGCCGTGAGGCACCCTCCGGCCCCGACACTGTAAGGCGAGGCGATCTTCCCTCCCCTCCCAGTTCGGGCTCCGCTGCTCGCAGTGGGGCTGGGGAGCCTGGCGGGGCGGGAAGGGTTCCGTGTGTGTATCTCTGATGGACAGTGGTGTCTTTCTGTTGCAGGATTCTCTGTATTCCCTCGCTCTGAAATGTCTTATTAGCCTCTCCACGATTATCTTGCTTGGGCTCATTATTGTATACCATGCAAGGGAAATTCAGGTAATTATTTAACTTTATGAATTGCTGAGTGTTTACATATCTGTGGTTGCAGAGTCAGTTTTTCTAAAGGCTTTATTGTGGTAAGTACTTTGCACTTCCTGCTGATTCAGAAAACATAAATAATCACTTAGTGCTTCCTGAAGTTCAGTGAATGTATTTAATCCCTGGAGAGAAATAAGATTGCATTGCTTGCTGGAACTGTTACCTGCGATTATGCTAGTAGGATCACTTAGTTCTGAGGTTATAGCATGCTTTATGACATACCTGCTATTTTCTGTAGCAGATGTAGGGCAACAGTCTTATTTCCCAGTGACTAAATGTCATGCTGTGCATTTTCTCTGGATAGCAGGGCTAAGTATTAGGAAAGAGGCATCAATAACTTCTAGGTATGTAATCTTCACTGTGCTGTTTCAGATACTAGCATACACTAGAATATTTAAAAAGAGGGGGAAACCTTATGTTGGATTTGTTTTATTTAATGCCCTAGAAGACAGGTAAGGCTAAAGGTAGGGGGAATGTATCGATCAAAGCTGTAGAGTAAGTCTAAAAATACTGTCACATGTCCTGTCCCAGGTACGTAGTTCTAATTTCTTTTTTTTTTTTTTTTCTAATTAAGAAATTACAATTTGACATTTCAGTTAAACTGAAACATGTAAGAGAGAGTTTTCAATGTTTTGAAGTGAAAAATACCTTATTTGTAGATACATTGGTGGTTTTGCTATGTCTAATTAGAGATACCTTGGGCTACAGACAGAAATGACACTTTTCAAGGGCAGGAAGGTTGTTTTTTTTCAGCAGTACCAATTAGCAAAAAAGAGATATTAAGAATTTTGTAGTACCCTTCTTCTATGCTGTATTTCTAATATGAAAGGGCACCATAGTCTCCTCCTTAGACTACTGTTAGAGAAGTATTGCACTACTGAAGACTTTGACAAATGGGATCTTGTCCTGCGGTCCATACATATGAAAAACACTATTTCTGTCTCAGAACCCAGTTTCTTTGCATTGATAGCAAAGATGGGCAACTGTTTATATTGTACTCAGTAAATAAGTGTCTGGTGACAGTGTATCACTATAAACTATTGAAATGCTGATGAAGAGGTTTCTTTATTTGTGTAAAAATAAATAAATGTAGCTGCTGCCATGTGGGAGCCTCGTTCTCCAGTGTACCTTGCTGTAAGTGTTGCTTGAGGCACTGTCGTGGTTTTGCTCTGGGTCAATTTGCTTTCCACCCCCCACACAATTACTACTAGTTGAGAGAAGGTTTTTTCAGACAAAAGAGAGACAGGATTTGGGGAAAATAGTATAAACATTTATTACTAGTAAAACAAAAACTTCTAATAAATTAAAAACTAAAGAACTATATCTACAACAATTTCTACTCAAGTTGAAGTGCTATATATTTACAGAAATACTTCTTCCCCTTTTATACTAGT